GTCCCTGCTCCGGACTACACCACCCCACGCCATTCCCCTACCAGAGTCCCTGTTCTGGACTACACCACCCCACGCCATTCCCCTACCAGAGTCCCTGTTCTGGACTACACCACCCCACGCCATGCTGCCACCAGGGGCCCACTCCTTGCAGAAGCAGGAGTCCTGTTCCAGGCTTCACAGGCCGTCCTTCTGAAGTAATGGAATTTGCTACCTAACTGCAAGATTTCTGTTTCTGACAGAAAAACGGGCAGCTCAGGTAATCCTTCTTTACCTCGAAAGCAAGACACAATGTCCAACCTGCTATTCAGCTCAGAGCACCTGACATTGTCACCAAACCCAGTCACTAACTCCCAGACCCATCCCCTCACCCACCCAGCAGGCCTTATGGCCTTTGTAGTCTCACTAAAGGATGGCAGACTCACTGGGCCTGTCACTGTCACTGAATTTCACATTATCCGTCTCATTTCCCCTTAGTTCGAAGTCCTCTATCCCAATATGTTTGGGGCTACAATTTCCTAATCTATTACCCTAAGTTGTGGAATTATGAAATACACCTTTCTTAATTTGAGGTCTCTATTCCATTATCACTTGTTTGGAAATCCCCTATTCCATTAATATTAAGTCTCAAGTCCATCTTTCCAAAAAGCCTGTTTTCAGAGATCCCTATTCCACTATCTCTGTATTCAAGGACCTCAGTCTCAATATCCTTTGGGTCTGTGGCTCTCCACTCCATGATTGTTAGTGTTGAAATACTTCATTTCATTGTGTCTGAAGTTAATGTGGTTACCGAATAGTCTAATATTGGAAACTTGTGTTTCTTGTTCCCTGTAAGGTCGGCCTTCCTGAACAGATTGCCAAGCGCTGCGTGCACCAAGTTGCCTTAGCACTGGACTATCTGCACAGCAGGAAGCTGGTACACCGCGATATCAAACCAGAGAACATCCTCATCTTTGATAAGGAGTGCCGCAAAGTTAAACTGTCCGATTTTGGGATGACTCGTCGGGCTGGCACTCCTGTCAAACGGGTGAGTGGCACCATCCCTTACACTGCCCCAGAGCTCTGCGATGCCTCCAAACACGAGGGCTTCTCAGTGGATTACAGCATTGATGTCTGGGCTTTTGGGGTCCTACTCTTCTGCATGCTCACAGGAAACTTCCCCTGGGAGAAAGCTCTCCTGTCAGACTCTTTCTACGATGAGTTTGTGAGATGGCAGAAGCGTCGAGGTGCCAGTGTGCCATCCCAATGGAGGCGATTCACTGATGACGCTCTCCGCATGTTCCGGAAACTGCTGCCTGTTGAACCCGAGAGGAGGTGCTCTGTCAAGGAGATCTTCAGATACCTGAGCTATCGGTGGATGCTGGACACAGATTGTAGCAATAACATTGCTGATGTGAGCTCTTCCTCTGAAGAAGATCTGGTGGCCAGGATGAAGCAACAGAGCTTATCCCCTGTCTGCACCGTTGCCAAGAGTGGCATTTCTATGGAAACACCGTCCTCCCGCTTCTCCTCCATGACAACATCGAGCTCCCTCTCATCCAACAGCAGCTATGAGCGGGCAACAAGGGAGAGCAGCAACACCAGAATTCTGGTTGCCACGCCAATTGAAATCTGCGTTTAGAGCACACAGCGCAGTGTCCCAAGATGTGGATGGCTTGAAATGCGATGGGAAGCACATGTTAGAGAGTGACAGTTATTATGAAGGGAATGTTACTTCAGAAGTCAACACTAGCCACCAGCTGGGCTCAAACTCAGGCTTCCAATGAGGCTCTGTGTCAAACATGGCCCTTCAGAGCTTTCAACCCAAGCTGATTCTTATCCAGTTGTGACTGAGTTGCTTTGTGTCTTTGGGTCAGTCAAGCTGAGAGATGCCAAGAAGAGCACTTGGTCCAACCCTTACACTTTGAAAGCAATATACTCAATTTGTGTTGATTCTGTGGGTGATAACAAGAGAGGTGGCAGCACAACTGTCCAAATCTCAATTGGACATGACTGCAGCAAGGATCTTTATGGTTTAGGCTCAGTTCCTGCGCAAGGATCCTCCTTTATATTCTGTGTTAAGAGTAAAAGGCAAGGGCATTGCCCAGTGATGAAACCTGTGGTAGCTCCTACTGTTCAAGTGACTTTCTTCTTAAGGGCTGGTTAGTGTATACCAGGAGATTGGCTCAGTCAGCACAAGTCTTCACTATTTACACCAATCTTTCACTAATGTGACTGTCACGCTAATCCATTCTTTGTTTAAAAAAGAAATGCTAACATGAGCGATTTTTGTCACTTTAGTCTTCGCCCTCCCTGGCACAGCCAGCATGTTAAGCTGCTAAATTTCCTAACTTCTCATTTAATAAGACTGAATTTACAAGACCATGCTGTTAACATGTGTTAAGCAAGAAAAAACAATTTGAGGTAATTGCTCGAATTTAAGAAGGCAAGAGATCAATTAGTTGAGTGGAACAATCTCGGGCAAAGGCTCTTGTGACAACTTAAAGATAATTATTATGTTAGTTTAATTAAATGATGAGACTTGAAGGCATCTAAGCCACTTAAATCTGCCTAAATGTCTCTCCATTTCTTTTGTCGCAGCATAGTCCAGATGAGCCAAAGGGCCTGTTTCCTTGTTGTAGTTCCTGTGTTTCTCCTCTGCACCGCTGTACACTTGAAGGGTCATTACTGCATTTCCTGTCTTTCTGTGTTTCACTGTGCCTCTAACAGTGAAGCCTGAACAGGACTGGTAATACAATGTAGCTGCCTACCATGCCATTTATTCCTTTATCACTCACGGTAACGGTGGGCTGTATGTAATTGGTCAGCCAGCCCATGGATTGATGAGGAGCTAATCTGGACAGAGAGGCTAGGAAATGTACAAGGCTTGAGGAGAACAATGAGATAATGAGGGAGAGAAAAGAAGCTGCTGGGTTATAAGTAAAAGAGTCAGAGATGGAAACTGCAATGAATCTCACTCAATTCAATCCATACCCATCCCACACAATGTCCAAAAGTGTTGAATTAAGCCTTTACGTGGTGAAGACCAGAGAACGGGAGCCCCATGCGGTCTGCCTTTTAAAATCCAGGCATTCTTGCAGATGTAGTGCTATTCTTGTGACCTTTTCCTGATCGGGTTTCTCATTCTCCTTTTTCTCTCTGAGTAAATCAGATTTGGTGCATGAATTCTGGATGAGGACACTGAGCTCAGACAGTTGTCAGTGACACCTGCAGTTAAGATGTCCTCGTGTATTGTGGACTGGGAGTCAGGAAGATCTGGCTTGATATAGCACTGAAAGCATGCAGGAACAGTGGACAGCATGCAGATAATTTTGCAGTGTGGCAGTACAGGGTCCAGTGTTAGTAAAGGGATCAAATACTCAAAACACACAACAAGAAGAACCTTGGCCATATTACATGACTCTGTGGACATTGAGGTTGTTTTTAACTTAACCTATCTAGTGGGAAATTGACAGGATTCCCTGAAGTCAATTGAAATATATCAAGGAAAGAACATACAGCAGACGGGTGTTGCAATCCTAATAGTAGGTTTGGTTAAAGTGACTGTGCACCACTGTAATTATGATCACTTTCATTCCCTCATCCTGTGGGCAGTTAGCATGGTGCTCTTACAGATAGTCGGCAGAGCCAGCCAGTATGTTCCTGTCACCCAGTTCTCTTGCCTTCTGCCAAGCGTGCTGACCAGTGTTGAGTAATTTTGCATCCAATGCAACAAAAGCCTTTCCAGTCAATTGGATTATTGAATGTTCCCTTTGTCTGCTGGGAAGAAAGCCAGTTAACAATGCAAAAAAAACAGAACGTGAAATGGTAATTGGGGCTAATTGTATCTCAGGACACTAGAGCAAGGATTAGCGAGCAGCGGAGAAACAGACATGACCAAATGTGTAGCAACTGTTTGGCAGGGCATTTGTTCAACTTAGGCCAATAAACCTTTAGGCATGGTAACACATCACTATCGTTACCATTGCTCAGTAGTTATGTTCTTGACTTCTAGACTCAGAATCCTGTTGCCTGTCAGTATCTCTCACCTTTTACCCCAGTGAAACCCCACCCCCTATAGCAATGTATATTTGAGTTTGTGTATTGAATAAATCACAATCCTATGTACCTTCACTGTGCTTACTGGAAGTGTTTCTAATGTTAACATATGTGCAATATGTACAATACGGTACCACGTTTAATGTGTAATTTTACACTGGATTGTCATATCTATTTTTTTTATTGATCTGAAAAATGAAAACATAGGGCTATGAAACAGATGTCATAAAGAGAGCTTTACACTATCTGATATGCTCTGCATTTGTATTAATCCTACAAAGACACCCAGGTGTGAGATGGGGCTGACGAACAGACCAGTCCAGCAAGGTTAGACTACGTGACTTTGGGAAGAGTGGGACCAGAATCCACTCTCTGCCTCTCATTGCTGCTTACCCCATCGTCAAGACAATGGCGGATTTGGCAATGCCAAGCACCAATGGACTGCTGCATAATCGTTAGCATGAAATGTAAAAGGAATAATTCTTGAAAGAAAACATTCACTGAAGACCCATGGATGAAAGTTGCGATAACTTCTTGGCAAAGACTATATTTGAACTGAGAATCGTAGTTGACCGATGCCATGCTTTATGCTAATAATTGGCAATCAAACTAGATAGCTAGTGTCCATCAGCCCGCATTTAGAAATACACTCAATTGCTTCTTGTAGACGGCGCAACACTCCCATTGAACAGCAAGGACCTCCCCCACGTAGACCCAGTCTCCAAGATGTAGGAGGGGCCATTGTGCCACCAAACCTGTGTTTGAATTTCAGTGCAGTGGGTGTATTTCTGTTCAAGACTCCTTAGAGTTTCATTCCTCAGTGAATGGTATGTGGTTTTAACTGTCTGTGGTTTTGTGACAGCAATGCGTCCTTTTAGAATCCAGAGTTTTAGCTCTAAGCTAAAATGCTCCCCGAGCTCTTCGAGCTGTATGATCGATTCAATGGTTGCAATACAATTTGTCTTCCTGTAAGACTTTCTTTATAATTTGATTAAAATGACCTAAAAATAACTCCCCTAGTCGAGTCCCTTTGTTAGAATGAAGGAACAGAGATGCACACTACACGACAGAGTCTGGAGAAAGCGCAGTGCATGGAAAATGTATGGAGAGAGCATGGAATGTGATACATGAATGGGGAAAGTTTGATATATGTCACAAATCTGGAGAATTCTCAGTGTACAGTATAGATCAGGAGCAAGCACGACATGCTTATAGGTAGAAAGCACAAGATAGAAATAAGAAGAGGAAAAAGCAGATGATAGTAATAGGGAGAGAGCACTTTATGTGACAGAAACAGGGACAGCATACAACCAAAAATAAACAGATTGTGTACAACACTGGTAGAATATGGAGAGGCCATGATATTGATGGAAATGCAGAGAGAACAATACGATAGAAATTGGGAGAGAGCATGGTATATGACAGATTGCAAGACATCAACAGAAATGAAGAAAGGAATATGTTGCTTGAAGGATCAATCTTCACGGGGAATATTGAAGAATGACAATAATATGACTCTGTAGTTAAAATATGGCATTGTAGGAGAATTACTCTGGTCTTTGTGTACCAACTTTGTAAGCTCAATCACAAATAAAGTGCTTACAGTGGCTTAAAAACAGTTATGTGCAGCCCTTTAGTGTCTGTGAAGTGCATGATGGGATAGGATGCACACCCAGCTTATATATTTCCTTAAAACGGGATGAAGGGTATAATTATGATTTTCTACAAAGACTAAGAACAGAAGGAAGTTCGGTAACATGTAGCACCATTAGAACAGTAAGAAAAGGAGAAAGGCAAATCAGATGCTCAAGCCTATACTCCACCATTCAACTAGATACTAAAGGAAACATAGAAACTGCTGAGGTAAGGAAAATATTAACTTTATATAAGAAGGTACTTCCTGTAACTTTATCTTGCCACAAGGCTGTATAAGACAGCAAGATCATATTACGTTGCATCTCAAATGGATTATACTGCACCTCATTAGCATATCACAGTTAGACTTAACCCCTGATACGACAGCTTATTCCGAGTCTTTGACCGTCTTATTACATCTCCCCTCAAGACTCTGGGCAGAGTCTTCCAATCCCCTGAATGATGTGAGCAACAGCGAGATCAGCAGGAATGGGATTATAACGTCAAGAAAGAAAAGTCGGATTCTGCAACCAAGTATTGAATGACGAGACAGGAATCTCACGAGAGGCCTATTTGCGTGTGTTTACATGCTATTTACACTTAATCCAGCCTCTTTAAGATGCATTTTTCTATTCTTCCGCAAGCCAGATGGCAACCATCCCCAGTGTGAAAGTCACAGCAGTGTACCTGGTGGAAACCTGGCCACTTGTTCCTCTGGGCTTGGACAACAACCCAGATATATCCGTGGGCAAAAACCGCCCACATCCCATTCACGGAGGTGACCATCAGACATGTATCATCCTCACCGCATCATCATGGCATGTCTCTGACCCACTTATAATACAGCACTGTACTTCACTGCTGCACTTTGAAATACACCAGCATCTTTCATCATAATGCTGCTGCAAGGCTACTTTGTGTGCAGGAACAGGTACCCAATTCATGATGTAGACCAAAGTGTATCTCAGGATTCCTTGCTTGCTTTCTTAAGACCCATTCACTTTGCGCCTACTTGGAAGCTTACAGCATCTCTACCTGGCCTTGCCCTGCCTTTTTGCAATCTATCCCCTCAGTCAGAGTTTAAAGGGTCACAGTGCTTCTGTCATATCTTGCCTCTTAGCACAGACCCAAAGCCAGGCAGCTTGTCATTGTTGTCAGCAATGATCAGTCAGAGGGGGTGGGCATGTTGCTGTACGGCAGTGTGCTACATCAGTGCCACGCCTGCAGCATGTGCCAATAACTTATGTGGCAAACACACTGCATGTGCTTCCACTAAACGGCCATATCTCACATTCTTAGAGGAGCAATCCTAGACCGGGTTAAGAGAGAAAGCCTTTAGTCGGCCCTGGCACCGTAAGTCAAGGGGCAGTGTCTCACGCCAGTCCAGTGGCCTGGAAATGGTCAGTCTTGGTGTCAGTGGTCCATATCACAACAGTCAGGTTAGTGGGACATGGTTAGTCCTGCAGGTCCAGTGCAAACACTTTGGGGATTTGCAATAAGAGATCTGCACAGAAATGGGTTGATGCCCAGTCTCCCATTCACTGGGGCTGTCCACATTGGTAGGTCATGGTTGAGCCACAGTCAGAAACGATGGTCAATTAAATGAAAGTCAAGGGACCATTGCTGTTAAGGAAGTCAATTCTGGGGATTGGAGACATCAAGCAGAGGGAACAATAATTGTGCAGGAGGGAAATTCAACATATAAGGCTGCAGAGAGGGTCTTTATGGTGCAGTGGTAGTGTCCCTACCTCTCAGCCAGAAGACCTGTGTTCAAGTTCTAGCTGCTCCAGAGGTATGTCATAACACATCAGAACAGGTTGGTTAAAAGTGACCATAAGGGTGGGGAGCCCATAGTGATTTTAGGATATGGGTTACTGCAGGAGGGAGGGTCACCAATGATCACAACCAGCTCAGTTTAACTGGGGGAATAGTGTAGCGTGATTGGTGGTATGATGAAACATTAGGGCCAAGGCTCCGAGGGTAATGTTGGGAGATGAATTTCAAAGAGATGTGTGGGAACACGTGGAAGCTCAGTCCGGATTGGTTTGACAGGGAGCACCAGGAAGAAATAAATACCCTTTCTATGGGGGCATTGATTGCCAGGCAGAACATGCAACTCACTTGCCAAGCCCAGCCTTCTAACCTTATGCAAATGATGAATGCGCAATGGAAATGGAAAATGGCCACGACCACATCCAGTGTGAATGGAAAGTGTTTACTTCTCTGTCTAAGCACTTGGGCTGTTCTAGTGAATGATGTCAGACCCTTGAAAGGACAATAACTTACACAATACAGGCTGATGACATCTGCATGCGAAATGCATGTATTGTCTTATTGTTAAGGATACAAATCCTGGAGACAAGTAATCTTGACCATGCGATTGATTGATTGATTGACCATGGATTGACCACAGCCATCTCTGTGAGACAGATGTAATCAGAGGCTATCATTAAAGTGGTATCAACAGGCCACAATTTACAAAGACAACCCAAGATCTCAGAGGCTGTACAAGGACATGGAGCTAATTTCCTTTGACCTTGAGCTGTAATCATTTGACAACGTGCTCTTACATGTAATGCTGCCTTTCTTAGATGATGTGGGGGTGTTTGGGAACAAGGCATCAGTAATCCAATCGCACCCACATCCTCCGCCTGTATTTATCCTCGGAAGATGGTCCCTACGTCAAAGGCCCATATCTAGGCATTCCACAGCCCTCCTTGTTGGAGTCTTCCATATTGCACTGTATGAAGGACGATGCCAAACCAGTATCTGTGTGTGATAGGAATGCTGACTGTTCACCTTATTAAGGACCTGTTCTGTTTCTGATCCTCCCCCTGGTTCATTGGATCTGTGACCAATGGATCCAGTTACAGCAGGGTTTCTGATCGCTGTGGCCATAAAGCTGCAATCATTTATTGACTGTCAATTTGCTGTTGCTCTGTCCCTCTCTGTTCCCGTAAGTAAATGTAGCTTTTCTTTTGTTTTTGTTCTTTGCTTTTGCTGTTGTTCAACAAAAGTGAATATTTTCAACTGTTGGAAGGTTTTCCAGTATGTGATGCTTCCCGCATTGAACAACAAGGAAACATTAGGTTGTTGAGAGATAGTAGGAGCCGCTGATGCTGGAGAATCTGAGATAACAATGTGTAGAGCGGGATGAGTGACTTGTTCGCTGAGCTGGCTTGTTTTTGTTCAGACGTTTCATCATTATGCTAAGTGACAGCCTCCGATGAAGCGATGTTATTCTACTCTGCTTGGAATTTATACTGTACGGTCCATTCCAAGCGGAGTAGAATAACATCACTTCATCGGATGCTCCACTGATGATGTCACCTAGCATGGTGATGAAACGTCCGAACAAAAGCAAACCAGCTCGGCGAGCAAGTCAACAACCTCACTCACAACCCGAGCTACAGATCTTTGCCAAAACGTTAAAGAAAACATTAGGCCACGCCTGGCATTAGGGAAGAATAGTACTCCCTTAGACAGGATTCTAAGATGAGATGGGAGCCTGTCTGGTTTGGTTCTTTTAGAAGTAGTTACAATGACTGTCAATCACATTCACAAACATGAACTTGTATTTACAATGTAAGGGCAGCCGTGCCACCTATGTGCCCTCAGCAGCATTTCTTTTCTGTTGCCCTCGCACTATGTGAACCATGAAGGGCAACTGCTGGCTTGCAGTGCTTTACCTGATGCATGGCACCAGCAATAAGAATCCAAGGAGCGCTGAGTACATCCATCTTTGCTCAGTGGAAGATAGTATGAGCAGAGCCTTACAGAGGTAAAATGCACAGCTCATGTGGCACACTGTGGAGAATAGTACAAGAAAACATACTTAGTGTCGCAGGGAGAAACCATCTGTGAAAATCACCAAAATTGACACAATTTCTGGTAAAATACAACCCTCTGGTGTCAATTTATTACAAGGGCAACCACTTTCAGGGCTCCACTAGCCTAGCAAAACAAGTCTGAGTTCCTGAATGGAGTATGCGCATTTGTTCCAACACTTGTCCATTCTGAGTTTGGTCTCAAATGCAAACTGGCCTTCCTGGTTGGAGGTTGGTACGTTGTGTCCTTTGTGATATTGATCATAGTTTCACATCTGACCAGATCCTGTTTCTCCATCACTTTTCATCAGTGATCATCAAGCTAACTTCTTGTAGTTACAGCGTAAGTGAATTTGGGAGAGTAAAGTTTTGAGACTTCCTCCCATCGCCAACTTAAACATACTGGACCATTTCAGAGTAGATTTGAATGGCAGCTCAGGAGTGCAAGTTGGATGCAATTGTGCTTCAGTAATGTTTTCATTGTAGCCATTCATGTCAGATTTACCACTGACATCACGGTATCTTGGTCAATTGACAATATAGACAAATCCAAGTAAGGTTGTGAATTCTTCAAAGTATTTTTTGTCAAACTGTGGTTTGTGTGTACAATGTCTGGGATTACAAATGTTGCAAAGATCTTGGTCAAAGAGGTAATCACTGCATTGGTAGCGGGACATGCAGTTGCTTGATTTTCATCCAACAGAAATAGCAGTCCACCCTGTCAATGACATTTTTCCCTCTATCTACAAAGAAGTCCATCCAAAGATGTTCCAATTACCTTAATGTAAAGGAAGATGACATGTTTGGTTCTCTCGTCTTTGAATGATGAATGTAATACAGTTCAATACCGTCTCTTCAAATAAAACGTCATTCTCTGGCTTGACATTTTGAGATATTCAGATGTCCTTGGCGCAATTGTTACAGTATGCTGAGTGTCAGGACTCTCAGGATGATGGATGTCTCATTGGAAATGAATAAACCATTCACTAAACTGAGATGCCCACTCTGTTTGAGGTATTGTGTGAGAATGGGATTGTGTTGTATGAATGCTGGCCATCCTTCGATAG